AGGTAGGATATGATGTTATCAGTCTTATTACTGCTTATATAACTCTAGCTGGTTCTGCTTCTCTGGCTGTAAAGGATGGAAAAAGTAGTGTTACGGAGCTCTGTGACTCAGGCTAAAATCATCGGCGCAATAGTATCTATATCTGGTGCTTTGGTTGTTGTGCTATATAAAGGCCCAAAAGTTCTTGCTTCTGCATCTTTTACACCTTCATCATCTACCATTTCGCTTCAACAGAATTTAACTACAGTCGAGTCAAGCTGGATAATAGGAGGCCTTCTGCTTGCTTCACAGTGTTTTCTTGCTTCAATCTGGTATATTGTTCAGGTATAGACACTTGAAAAGTTCATCAAAAAAGACTTTGGGTTGTTGTTGACACACAAAACTCTTACTGAAATTCGGTAGCTGTATCTGGTTTCAGGCTAGGATCATGGAGGTATACCCTGAAGAAGTAACTGTAGTCTTCTTCTACAACTTATCTGCAACGCTAATCTCAGGACCATTATGCTTATTTGCGGAAAGCAACTTGACTTCTTGGGTGCTTAAACTGGATATTTCCCTCGCTGCAATCATATTCTCGGTGAGAATCAAATCTCTTTCCGTTATTGATGATGTTAGAAGCTCAAAGATTAACAAATTCTTTCAGGGGGTCTTTGTTTCATTGTTTGGCGCAGTCATTCACACATGGGGTGTGCATTTGAAAGGTCCGGTCTATGTATCCTTGTTCAAGCCATTGTCTATTGCAATTGCAGTCGCCATGGGTGCTATATTCCTCGGCGATGCACTTCACCTTGGGAGGTACCATTTATATCTTTCGTCTTCTCCTTTTACAGCATGTATAGAAGATTTGATCTCTACTGAGATACATAGAATTCAACTCTAGGTTGTTGAAAATGATTAGTAGCTAACCAATGTAATCACATTTGGAGAATTATATGGTTTTTGGTTTCTACTCTATCCGGCACAAGCCAAACCTGAGCTCTTTTCTTCTGTATTATTTTTTCATATGGTGTGTGAAAATATGATTATTGAGACAGCAACAACCAATATAGATTTCCCCATTTCTGGTTTGGGCAGTGTGATTGGATCAGTGATATTGTGCATTGGATTCTACACTGTGATTTGGGGAAAAGCAAACGAGGATGCAACCAGAAGTGTTAATGATTCTGAAAATTCACCTTTACTGGGTACACACATCGTAGAAGATTAAGCATAGGAATGATGCAAGTGATAATCCTTTAATTATTTACTCATTTTTGAATATGGATCCTTTAGTAGATGATCCGAGTCATGTGTATATAAATGTCTATCTTTACATACAAGACTGTTTTTGTTTTTTTCCTTTCTTGTATTGTTTTGAAGTTATAAATAAGAATGATGATATATATTTTCTTGGATTCATGCAATGATTTTGAAATTGTGAATACATACACAGCCGTGTCCACTAGTCAAGGTAGGCTACTAATATTTTGGTTCAGTTTGGTTTAACTTTTCCGTTAGGTTTTTTTGTTCGGCTGCAGTGGGGAAACGAGGGCTATGATGATGATTGATGCATGCAGAGCATTCAACAACACTAGGTCTTCATCATTGAAACAGAATGTTCAAATGTAAGTTGGAAAAATTCTTCATTTTAATGATTTCCGTGGACCAAATTTCGTTGTCGTGGGATCCCTGAACTATACGAGAAGATGATCCTTGTGGTTTGAAGAAATGTTCAAGTTTATTTATTTAAGTATGGAGAAAGATTGATACTTTTTCCAGGTTGTCGTCACTGAAAATGTCTTTGGTTCTAAATAAAATAATGCTACCATTTAGCAATCGTGGGTGGAAGAACAATCCACCATTTAGATTGCTTTTAGTTTCAGACAGTTTTCTCTGAGAATCTGGATATCAGACCTATCATGAGAGGAGCTGGAGAAGAGACAGAGGCGTGGAGGTACTTTAAGAGAGATGTTGTGCCGTTTGCTGCAATGTTTGTAGTTGAATGTACCACGGTTGGGGCATACACACTGTACAAGGCTGCAACATTAAGAGGATTGAGCTTTTATGTTTTTGTCTTCTACTCCTATGTTGTTTCCACAGTTCTCCTTCTTCCACTTTCTTTCATCTTTGGAAGGTATTTATCTCCTCTTATGTTCTCTTTTCCCAGCGTAGACTAATCAAGAATAAGAAACTTAATTTTGCATATGCAGGTCAAAAAGATTACCTTCAGCCAAGTCTCCTCTCTTCTTCAAGTTTTTCTTACTTGGACTTTCGGGTAATAAATACACCCCTGCTTATAGATAATGTGCATTTCCTGTTTCTCGAGTAATAATTCCTGTTTTTGTTTTCTTATTTTTATATCTTTTAACTTGGAGGGAACAGGGTCATTGGGCAGATAGCTGGTTGTAAAGGTATAGAATACAGTTCACCAACTCTTGCCTCTGCTATGAGCAATCTCACACCAGCTTTTACATTCACCCTCGCCGTTATCTTCAGGTTCCACCTCCTTCATTCTTTCCTTGGATAAGTTGGGTGGATATGACGTCTGTGTGCTACTATCATTCTTATTACTGAGTGTGTAACTCTAATTGGTTCTGCTTCCTTGCGTGTAAAGGATTGAAAAAGTAGTGTTACGGAGCTCTGGGACTCAGGCTAAAATCATTGGCGCAATAGTGTCTATATCTGGTGCTCTGGTTATTGTGCTATATAAAGGTCCAGAAGTTCTCGCTGCTGCATCTTCAACATCTACCATTTCACTTCACCAGAATATAATTTCAGTCGAGTCAAGCTGGATAATCGGAGGCCTTCTGCTTGCTTCACAGTATTTTCTTGCTTCAGTCTGGTATTTTCTTCAGGTATACACACTTGAAAAGTTCATCAAAGGAACTTTGGGCTGTTGTCGACACATAAAGCTCTTGACAAATTTGTATCTGTACATGGTTTCAGACTAGGGTCATGGAGGCATACCCTGAAGAAATAACCGTAGTCTTCTGCTACAACTTATTTGCAACGCTAATCTCAGCACCAGTGTGTTTCTTAGCAGAGAGAAACTTGAGTTCTTGGGTGCTTAAACCTGATATTGCCCTCGCTGCAATAGTATACCAGGTGAGAATCACATATTACAGTCTAATTCTATCACTGACGATGTTTTTAGCTCAGAAATTAACACTTTGTTTTCAGGGAGTCTTTGTTTCATTATTCAGCGCAATTATCCACACATGGGGTCTGCATCTAAAGGGTCCGGTCTACATATCATTGTTTAGGCCTTTGTCTATTGCGATTGCAGTCGCCATGGGTGCTATATTCCTCGGCGATGCTCTTCACCTTGGGAGGTACCACATATTTCATCTTCTTCATTTCCATCTCTAGATTTTATCTACACTGAGAAACATAGAACTCAAGTCTAGGTTTGTTTAATGCTTAGTATTGTGTATACATATGTCTAACTAATGGAATCACATTTGGAGAATTATATGGTTTCTGGTTTCTACTATAATCTTCACAAACTCAGACCTGACCACTACATCCACATGAGCTCTCATATATGTTTTATGGGCAGTGTGATTGGAGCAATGATCTTGTGCTTTGGATTCTACACTGTAATTTGGGGCAAAGCGAGAGAGGAAGCAACCAAAAGTGTTGCTGGTTCTGAGCATTCTTCACCTTTGCTGCTTACACACACATTGTAGAAGATGAAGCCTTGTCATTGAGATAGATTGATCCAAGTGTTTAATCCTTAAATTTGTATCATTCACTAATGAATATGGGGATCCTGGGCCCTATTTATGTTCATATAAATGTCTATATTTATGAGGTTTTTTCGTTCTTACTTGTAATATTTTGAGGTTACAAATAAGAATGATATTTCTCCTGTGATTTTCTTGGATTGTCTATTGGTTAAATTAGGCTATGAATTTTTTGGTTCGGTTCGGTTCAGTTTTTTGGTATGTCCCATGCCAAATTCCTAACCGTTGGATCAGAAATCTACACTTGAAGCGTGTTGACGAGCGTATCGAAATACTAACCGTTGGATCAAAACCTCCACCTGGGAAAGAGTATCAACGATCGTCTCAAAATCGGACATATTATTTTGACGATCATCGTCTCGCCGGAAGCATCAAACGGGACCGGCGACGGCAAAGTCCACTCCGTAAGCCGTGCGACTGTACATCGATGGAGATTGCAGCGTTGGTGTTAATTTCAGTGGAAGGTGGAATAGGAAGTTTTGATAAATCGATCAAATTTTCCCTTCTGAAGATGAAGCTGAGATTAGCGAACAAATCTTTGAGCTGGAGTGAGGATTCTTCTGATCGCTGCTGCATTATGCGTTGATAAAAGTGGGAAAACGAGGGCTATGATGATGCTGATTGATGCAGTTTTGGCAGAGCTGAGTCTAAGCATTCAACAACACTATAAGCCTTCATCGTTAGAAGAGAATGTTCAAATGAAAGCTGGTAAATTTCTTCAACTGGATGATGATTGAAATTGATTGGTAGGTTAATAGAGCTCCTTGTCGTGGGGTCAGTAGAATATTCGATAAGATGATCCTTGTGGTTTGAAGAAATTGGTCAAGTTGAGATATATTTTATTATGGAGAAAGATTGATACTTTTCCAGTTTGTCGTCAACGATAATGTCTTTGGTTCGAAATAAAATAATGCTCCAATTTAGCAATCATGGTGGAATTAACCTCCAAACAACATGATTGCTTCTTAATTTCACAGAGTTTCTGGGAAACTGGGTATCAGATCTGTGTAGTATCATGAGAGGAAGTGGAGAAGAGACAGTGGCGTGGAAATACTTTACCAGAGATGTTGTGCCGTTTGCTGCAATGTTTACAGTTGAGTGTACCACTGTTGGGTCAAACACACTCTTCAAGGCTGCAAGTTTAAGAGGATTGAGCTTTTATGTCTTTCTCTTCTACTCTTACGTTGTTGCTACACTTCTCCTTCTTCCACTTTCTTTCATCTTTGGAAGGTATTTATCTCTTTCACTTTTTTTTTTTCCAGTATATCAACTTTTCAAGAATCTGAACTTTATATTGCATATGCAGGTCAAGAAGATTACCTCCAGCCAAGTCTCCTCTTTTCTTCAAGATATTCTTGCTTGGGCTTCTTGGGTAATAATATACTCCTGCTTCTTGATTACTGGGACATTTTTGGTTTTTGTTTTCTAAATTATGACTTGGAGGGAACAGGTTCATGGCGCAGCTAGCTGGATGTAAAGGAATAGAATATAGTTCTCCTACTCTTGCCTCTGCTATGACTCTATGAGCAATCTCACACCAGCTTTCACATTCACTCTCGCTGTTATCTTCAGGTTTCACCTCCTTCTTTTATATTTCTGGTTTGGGAAATTAGTCTGGACAAAGAAAAACCTTTTGTGAAATGACTAAGATTTTGTTAGTGACTAGTAGTTCATACCAGAGAAGTTCTCATGTTATTTTAAATTATAAAGTTATGAAGCACTTGTAGTAGTGGTCACGGAATAGCCACTAGTACAAAAACAACCTTGTGGTTAGATATGACGCCTGTTTGCTACTATCATTCTTATTACTAAGTATGTAACTCTAACTTGTTCTACTTTTCTTGGGTGACTCGTAAAGGATGGAAAGAGTAGTGTTAAGGAGCTCTGCAACTCAGGCTAAAATCATTGGCGCAATAGTGTCTATATCTGGTGCTCTGGTTATTGTGCTATATAAAGGCCCAAAAGTTCTCGCTACGGCATCTTTTATACCTACATCATCTACTATTACGCTTCACCAGAGTTTAACTTCAGTCGAGTCAAGCTGGATAATCGGAGGCCTTTTGCTTGCTTAAGAGTATTTTCTTTGTTCAGGTATAGACACTTGAAAAGTTCATCTAAGAGACTTTGGGTTGTTGTCGACACATAAAGCTCTTGACTAATTGGTAGCTGTATATGGTTTCAGACTCGGGTCATGGAGGTATACCCTGAAGAAATAACTGTAGTCTTCTTCTACAACGTATTTTCAGTGCTAATCGCAGGACCAGTATGTTTATTTGCGGAAAGCAACTTGACTTCTTGGGTGCTTAAACCTGATATTTCACTCGCTGCTATCATATACTCGGTGAGAATCACATTATACAATCTGCTTCCATAACTGACGATGTTTTAAGCTCAGAAATTAACACTTTGTTTCAGGGAGCCTTTGTTTCAATATTTAGTGCACTTATCCACACATGGGGTCTGCATCTGAAAGGTCCGGTGTACATATCTTTGTTTAGGCCATTGTCGATTGCCATTGCAGTTGCCATGGGTGCTATATTCCTAGGCGATGCGCTTCACCTTGGGAGGTACTATATCTCTCATCTTCTAAATTAATTTATCGTGTGAGAAAAACACTCTGTCTCCATTGTTCAATGATATATCGCTTTATAAACTGCAATATACTTTTAAGACTGCGATAACCGAGTAAGATTTCGCCATATATTTTTTTGTGGGCAGTGTCATTGGATCAGTGATATAGTGCTTTGGATTCTACACTGTGGTTTGGGGCAAGGCAAGAGAGGATGCAACAAAAAATGTAGCTGGTTCTGAGAATTCACCTTTGCTGCTTAGACACACCGTAGAAGATGAAGCCTTGCCAGTAAGATAGGATTATGCAAGTGGACTCCTTATATTATTCATTTATAAATATGGTTACTTTAGAAGATGGTCTTTGTTTATGTGCATATATGTCTGTATTACAGATAAGAGTTTTCTCTTGTTAATTAAGAATGATATAAATTTTGTCTTCTGTAAGAAATATTTGTTGTTGTTTTTTTTTTTATTATTCGGGATATGCGTTCACTTGCCTTGTTTAGGTATAATTGTATAAACTATTGGTCAAGTTGGAATACTTTATCTAAATATAATAAATTATTAGCAAACATGGTGGGATTAACCATTTTGATTGCTTATGAACTCACTTTGACTTCTGAGAGTTTTTTGAAAGTCTAGAAATGGCAAGAGGAGCAGAAGAAGAGACAGTGGCATGGAGATACTTTTACAGAGATGTTGTGCCATTTGCTGCGATGGTCTTAGTGGAGTGTGTCACGGTTGGATCTAACACACTGTTCAAGGCTGCAACCTTGAGAGGATTGAGCTTCTATGTCTTTGTCTTCTACACTTATGTTGTTGGTACACTTGTCCTTCTTCCTCTTTCCCTCATCTTTAAAAGGTACTTGATTTCCCCAACTAATCTTGCCCTGTATAATCTTTTCAAGAATATGAACTTATTTTTCTTATGCAGGTCAACAAGATTACCGCCAGCCAAATTTCCTCTCTTCTTCAAGATTTTCTTACTTGCGTTTCTGGGGTAATTTTATACTCTTAGAGTTATAGGCTTATAGCCTTATGAGCATTTCCATTTTACTAAGTTGGAGGATACAGGTTCGTGGTGGGGATGATTGGTGCTAAAGGAATAGAATATAGTTCTCCTACTCTTTCCTCTGCTATCAGCAACCTCACACCAGCTTTCACCTTCACGCTTGCCGTTATCTTCAGGTTCCACCTCCTTCTCTTTCGATTCTGTTGTGGAAAAGTAATTTATACGGCTAAGTGAACAATGGGTGATTCCAATGTTTTTGTGGACTGACCAAGATATGTTTTGACATCCTAATCTTCACTTCTTCTGGTCAGTGAGTAAGTAGTTTAGACATTAACTTTTACTGGTTCTGCTTTTCTTGGGTGACTCGTAAAGGATGGAACAAATAGTGTTAAGGAGCTCTTCGACTCAGGCTAAAATCATTGGCACATTAGTATCTATATCTGGTGCTCTGGTTGTTGTTCTCTATAAAGGCCCAAAAGTTCTCGCTGCTGCATCTCTTACATCTTCATCATCTACCATTCCTCTTTACCAGCACTTGACTTCGTTCGATGCAAGCTGGATTATCGGAGGGCTTTTGCTCGCTATACAGTATTTTCTTATTTCAGTCTGGTTTATTCTTCAGGTATGGAAAAGACTTTGGATCTGTAGGTGACACATTTAAACTCTTGCTAATTTTGGCAGCTCTGTTTGATTTCAGACTCAGGTCATGGAGGTATACCCTGAAGAACTAACTGTAGTATTCTTGTACAACGTATGCGGAACACTAATCTCAGCACCAGTATGTCTATATTTGGAAAAAGACTTGACTTCTTTTCTTCTCAAACCTGATATCTCCCTTGCTGCAGTCTTGTACTCGGTGAGAAACAAACCTTATATGTTGTTTCAAGCAGTGACTATCTTTTTATGCTCAGAAATTAACACTCTTTTTCAGGGAGGCTTACTTTCATCATTTGGCTTAGCTATACATTCATGGGGTCTGCATCTGAAGGGTCCAGTCTACATATCCTTGTTCAAGCCATTGTCTATTGTCATTGCAGTCGCTATGGGTGCTATGTTCCTCGGCGATGCACTTTACCTTGGGAGGTACTATATACCTCTCTATATCATATCGTCATATGTCTTTGCAGACAGTAATAACTGATATTGATTTCCCCATGTATTTGTTGTGTGCAGTGTCATCGGATCAGTGATTTTGAGCTTAGGATTCTACACTGTGATTTGGGGCAAAGCAAGAGAGGACTCAACCAAAACTATGGCTGGTTCTGAGCATTCACCTTTGTTGGTTACACAGTCACAAACCATAGAAGATGAAGCCTCATCATTAAGATATGACTGATGCAAGTGTAATCCTTATGTTTATTCATTTATAAAATATTGAGTCATTAAGAGATGGCCGCCAATAGTGTTTACATGTAACAATTCTCTGTTATAATCTTGTATTATTTCAAAGTGTTAAATAAGGATGAAATTGGTACAAACGAGCGATAGTTCCATACTACCTTCACTATGCTTGCTTCTGAGCTCATTTTGTCTTAAGATAATTTTTCAGAGTCAAGACAAGCAAGGGAAGAGACAAGGCCATATTCTTTTGAAGATTCGCTGCAATAGCCGCAGTGGAGGATTGAACTTATATGTCTTTATATTTTAAAGAATATGAACTAGCATTTAGCAAACGTGGTGATATTAATTACTAATGGTTGCTTATGAGAAGTCACTTCGACTTTTTGAGATTTTTGGAAAGTCAGATCTATGACGAGAGGGACAAGAGAAGAGACAGTTGCTTGGAGATACATTTTGTGCCATTTGCTGCAATGATCGCAGTGGAGTGTGTCACGGTCGGATCGACCACACTGTTCAAGGCTGCGACATTGAGAGGACTGAGCTTCTATGTTTTTGTCTTCTACACTTATGCTGTCGCTACACTTGTCCTCTTTCCACTTTCTCTCATCTTGGGAAGGTAACTAGTCTTTTTTGACCATTGTAAAGTTTTTCAAGAATGTGAGCATATTTTTAAATGTGCAGGTCAAGAAGTTTACCATCAGCTGTATCTCCTGTCTTCTTCAAGATTTTCTTACTTGCACTTGTTGGGTATGAACATTCAACAACATTGGTTCGATGCCGCCTGAGATTGAGGTTGAAGGTGAAGAAGACAATGGAAGGAGAGAGAGTGGGAGTGAAGAGAGTAATAATGGTGATGGTGGGGAAACACTTTTTGATTTGTTTAGGAGGACTTGATCTTGTTTCTTCTTCTTCTTCTTCTACTTCTTGCTGAAGCTTGGTTACGTTGTAATTACTTGACATCCATAAAAAACATAAACTACTTAACAATGTAAACTAAATTATTCTTTTGACTGTCCTTAACTAACAACAAGGGTGTAGTGGAGCTGTCAGTCATTCCGGTTTGATGCGGTTTTCGTTTGGTTCACTTCGGTTTAAGAACATTTACAGAGTGACCAGAGCAGAACATGGCCAGTGAATAAATTTGGGCTTACAGGGCCAGGCCCATTTGACAACAAATTAGCCATTTATGCATAGCTTGGAGAGGATATGTACGTACGGAAAATGAGCATGAAAATTTAAAAGAAAATAAATGATGTTTATATTTCTAAAAGAGGACTGCAATTTTTGCGTGACTGTTTGTGTGAAGCAGAGAGAGAGACAGAGTGAGAGTAAGCAAGTGAGAGTGAGAGGAAGCAAGAGAATGGGGAATCGTTCGCTAGGGTTTTGGGTGACTGCGTTTTTCCTACTCGGAAGCTTGATCGACGCGGCCGATGGCTCGATTCACGAGTACAAGGACGAAGGGTTCGTCAAAATCGCCAATGCTCGCTACTTCTATGGTGGTCACGAAGGTCTTTACGCTTCTGAGTTTCTGGGTGTTGATGCTTCTTCTGCTACAGCTCCTCCTCTCAAGGGAAACTCCTTCATCAGGTACATATTTCACTTTTCTCTTACTGATTATGTTTCCGTTGAGCTAGGGTTTTTATGTGACTGGGTCGATTCTGTGTGTACTTTAGCTGATGGATCGTCACAGGAGGATAAAATACTTGATTTCTGGTGTTTCGATTTATCGATTCGTTACCAGATTTTGTGCGTTTTCACTAACCAGGGACATTTCAAGCTTTACGCAAAAAGATTCATCTTTGAGCTTTTATATTTGGTTTACTGCTTCTTCGTTACTGGAATTGTGCTTTTGAGGTAGCGTTTTCTAAGGAAAATTATATGTATCAGCTTATAGATTTGTATTTGTAGATGAGAATTTTTGATATCTTATAGTTCTTCCTGTTTATTTTTTGAGTGTGTGTAGGTTTGATGATGTCTCTTTTGTAAGAAGCAAGGAATCCGCTAGCAAGCAGAATTCAACTCAGGCGAGTGCAGGCTTGGTGGAAGCGATACTGTTTGAGGCGAAGCAAAAAGACAGAGTTGGTGGATCTTTTTTCAAAACAGAGAGCTTCTGCTGTACACCAAACTTGCGGATGCTGGTTCCTGCAACCTTGGGGAAGTTATGATTAGTGCAGATCCTAATGACCCTGAATGGCCTAAGCGGATTCACACTTTCTTCAAAAAGGGTGAGGAAGAAGTGAAGATGTCTCCGGAAGCTGTGATCATTAACAAAACTGGACGGTACATTGTGTACTTCACGACCTGCGATGAAGATTTGGATGGCACTGTTGTCAGGGGAAGAACAGTTTGGAAGAACCTAGATGGGTATTTACCAGGAGAGACAGCTCCTCTAATGAAGTTCTATGGATTCATGTTCGTAGCTTATATGTTGCTTGGCGTAGTTTGGTTTCCACGATTTGTTAGGTACTGGAAGGATGGAATCCAGCTGCATAGTCATGTTAGCTTGGTTATTGCATTTTCCATGTATGAGTTGGCCTTCATGTACTCTGGTTTTGCCTATCTCGACTCGGTTGGTACAAGTCCTGTGAAGGCAACGTTATGGGCTGTGAGTTTTTCTTCTGCGAGGAAGGCGTTGTCTCGGCTTCTACTGTTGGCTTTAACTTCAGGATATGGACTTGTGAAGCCTGAAATATCCGGCTTTACACCGAGGATGCTTCTTCTTGGCGGCATGTGCTATGTGATTAGTCTATCTCTGGGATCGGCGCAGCATTTTGGGAGTCTCACTGAAGATGGGATGACTTTGTTGATGCTGTCTTGGGCTATAATGGAAACATGCTTTCTCCAGTGGATTTTCAGGTCCTTGTGGAATACGCTTAAGAAGCTTAAGGTAATGAACCTACAGTACTGTAACATATTAACTATAACTCTATAAGTAGCTCTCCTGGTAACTGTTGAAAGTTGCAATTGAGCCATATATGAAGATGCAGTTCTAAGCTTTTCATCCCTGCTAATCCCATCTAGTTTATTTGATGTAGGTGAACAAGAGGAACATTGCTAAGTTGCAGCTCTACAAGAACTTTGCAGTTGTACTAGTAACCATGGTGGTGCTTAACATTGCCTGGGTTTATGTGGAGGTAACAGCTCGCTAGTCTGATAATAACTCTGGGAAAATCACTTGATAATGGCAAGTCATAGGATGGGTGTGACTGATACATGTTTTTCTTGAAACAGGTATATATCAATGACTCCCTGAGTGAGCTTTGGCAAGTGAAGTGGATGATCCCAGCATTTTGGTATGTGCTTGCCTATGCACTATTGGTAGTCATCTGCTGCTTTTGGCCTCCAACCGAAAAGCCAACCAGGTAAATTATATTAATCTCTCCCACCCTTTATCATACCAATGGTCAATGGAGTGCTTCTGTGGCCTGTTTGATGTTCCACGTTAAGTTCTTGTGTGTTTAATAATCCTTACTGTTTAAGGTTTGAGGTTCTTAGTAATGAATATGCTGCCGTTTGCACATTTGTCTAATGTAATAAACTGGTTCGAAATAAGCAGGTACCTATACGTAGCTGAAATGGAGGATGAGTATGAGGAAGAAGAACAAGATGAAGATCTAGTATTGGCAGAAGCAGGGATGAAGAGTGAAGATGGGAGCAATGTGGAGAGGGAAGAGAGGAAGA